AGCTAGTTGTAGAGCTGTTCCCTGATAATGGATTGGTCAGAATTCTATGCTATGGTGGGCCCTCTCCAGGAAGAATGATGATCTCCCAACCTTCCCAGTGAAGTATCAACATACACCACACACTCCCTGCTCAGGCAGCAGAAGCAGAGCACTGGGATGCTCTGGGCCCCACAGTCTCTCCCTCTGGTTAAATGTGGGGTCCAGAAGCTCTGATCTTTACTATCTTCGTTATTAGCATTTCCTTGCTGTTTCTGTCAACCCTGCATCTTGGTTATTACCCTTTTGCAAACTGTTTCTTATTGTTTATATAGTACCAGTTCGATACCATATGGTCTTCAATACCATCCTCAAGTCCCCAAAACAAAAAGCACAAAGGGAAAAACTTCACGTGTAGAGGGGTAACTATTTTTTCTTTTATGAGTCGGAGTTGAGCTCACTCTGTTGCCCAGGCTAGAGTGCAGTGACACGATCATAGCTCACCGCAACCTCAACCTCCTGGACTCAGGTGATTCTTCCTCTTCAGCCTCCCAAGTAGCTGAGACTATGGACACAAGGCACCACGACTGGCAAATGTTTTTATTTTTTGTAGAAACAAGGTTTCGCTATGTTGCCTAGGCTGATTTCCAACTCCTGGGTTCAAGTGATCTTCCTGCCTTGGCTTCCCAAAGTGCTGGGATTACGAATGTGAGGTACTACACGTGGTCCATAGAGGGATAACTATTAAATATCAAATGAGGCCAGGTGCAGTGCCTCAAGCCTATAATCCCAGCACTTTGGAAGGCCAAGATGAGAAGATTGCCGGAACCCATGGGTTCGAGACCAGCCTAGCCAACATGGTGAGACCTTGTCTCTACAATAAATTAAAAAATTAGCTGGGTGTAGTAGCACGTGCCTATAGTTCTGGCTACTTGAAAGGCTGAGGCAGAAGGATCGCCTAAGCCCAGCAAGTCGAGGCTGCAGTGACCAAGAGTGTGCCACTGCACTCCAACCTGGGTGACAGAGTGAGACTCCAACTCAAAAATAAATAAATAAATAAATATCAAATGAAAAGTTTATCTGGAAAAGTTGAGGTCTTATTTCTACTGATGGCTTTTCATGATCTTGTTCTTCCAGCGCAAGCTACTGTTTTTTCTCTTTTTTGAAAGAGACCTTTGCTTGATCACTGCATATTTCTTTTTTTTTTTTTTAAGAGTTGGAGTCTCATTCTGTCGCCCAGGCTGGAGTGCAGTGGCACACTCCCAGCCACCGCAGCCTCGACCTGCTGGGCTCCAGCGGTCCTTCCGCCTCAGTCTTCCAAGTAGCTGGAACTACAGGCGCACACTACCACGCCCAGCTAAGTTTTTATTTATTGTAGAGACGAGGTCTAGCCAAGTTGCCCCGGCGGGTCTCAAACCCGCTGGCTCAGGCAATCCACTCGCCTCAGCCTCCCAAAGTGCTGGGATTACAGGCTGAGCCACCGAGCCCAGCCTATCACTGCCTATTTCATTAGCTTCTCCTCTTCTTGAGAAACAAAGCTTACCTTGAACTAAGGCCCAGTTATGTACATGTATTCTTTTTTTTTTTTGACAAGTATCTAGCAAGCAGCCTGGTGTAGTACTTGGGGTTTAGACAGACCTGGTTGTCCCAGCTCTGTCATTTACCAGCTGTGTAACTTTGAGCAAGATACCTAATCTTTTTGAGCTTTTTGCATTTCCTCATCTGCAGGATTGTTGTGAGAACCAAATGAGATCATGTATGAATAGTAAATGAGATGATGTATGTATGGGGCCAAAGTGACCTGCACATACACTGGTAGATCCTAATGGTAGCTATCTTGGGAAATTCAAGATACACCCTATACTGTTAGTTGTCCGGTATGGGTGACAGCAAGCATCAACCATCTGAAGCTGGAGTGCAGTGGTGCAATCACAGCTCACTAAAGCCTTGGACTCCTGGGCTCAAGCAGTCCTCCTGCCTCAGCCACCTGAGTAGTATTGAAGAGTGCACCGTGGCCGGGCGCGGTGGCTCACACCTATAATCCCAGCACTTTGGGAGGCTGAGGTGAGAGGACTGCCTGAGCCCACGGGTTCAAGACTAGCCTGGGCAACGTGGTAAGACCTCATCTCTACAATAAAAATCAAAAAATTAGCCAGGCATGGTAGCACATGCCTATAGTTCCAGTTCCTTGGAAGACTGAAGTGGAAGGATCACTGGAGCCCAGCAGGTTGACACTGCAGTGGCCGTGAGCATGCCACTGCACTCTAGCCTAGATGACAGAATGAGACTCCAACTCAAAAAAAGAAAAGGAAGGGTCTACCGTGCCCAACTATTTTTTTTATTTTTTGTGGAGATAGCATCTTGGTATATTGCGCAGGCTGATCTTGAAACCTAGCTTCAAGCATCAGCCTCCCAAAGCTTCATGTCAATTGGAGGTGGAGATTATAAGCATGAGCCACTACACCTGGCCACATTTTTTTAATAGTAAAAGCAATGTCAGCTTTCATTGTTTTCTAGTACTTTAAATCATTTTCTTAATTCATTAAGCTGACTTATATTTAAAATCATGAATCTACTTGATGTTTGCTCATATTTCTTTTAACTTGATCAATGGAGTCATAGCTGGGTGAGGTATAAAAGCAATCAGACCTTTTCACATATATTCCAAACGTGGACATGTACTAACTTGGCCAGGGGTTATCAAGAGGAGACAGATGATGTACATACAAGCTAACCAGCAAGAACTAGAAGAAATCCAGTGTCCCATGCTCTGTCTTGCTTCAGAGTTGTTTTTTAACCAGTCATAGAGCATGTTACCACCTCCTTTTATGATCTTCTGTTGATGGAGAACTGTAATGTCTGGTAATTGCTTATAAAACATTTTGAGATTTTGAAATATACAATGTAGCCAACATGGAAAGCAGTAGTTTGTTACTTTACAGTAGCTTCATGTCGATTGGAGGTGGGGGCATCAGGCCCTACCCAGTTCACCGTATTTACTCAGAACATTCTGCTACAAGCCTTACTGCAGAGCTGGGGAAAAGAAGATGACTTAACAGCACCTATCAATTTTGGCCTCACCCTATGAGCTCATTTAAAATCACCTAGGTTGCTCATTGTTTGGATGGGTCCAAGTCTTTAAAGTCAGATAGAAAAAGAAGCCTCTTAGCCATTGCCTTGCTAGATTCTGGTGTGGCCATGTGCTGTGTGAGCTATGGCTGTCATCATGCTTCTTGGCTTTGGCTCCCTCCCCCACCTTGGGGAGGTGAATCTTCCCTTTCTCTCTCTCTCTCTCTCATTTTCTTTCAAATAAACTATATTTTCTAATCTAAAAATAAAGAAAAAGAAAAAGAAGCCTCTTAAATAAGATAAAAATGAATGAGGAGAACATTACATGTAACCAAAGCAATAGAACATAGAGTAAGTTCATATTAGACCTTTCTATTGTTTCTCCAGTGTTTGTTTCTGTTTTTTCCCAGTAAAAAATCAAAGACCCTTTCCTATCTAGAGCCTGGTTAGGAAGCCTTGCATAAGACTCTTGATGTCTCTGGCCCTCAGTTTTCTCATCTATGAAATGAAAATGGAGATCCCTTCCTTCTTTTCTATGGTTCTATGCTTACATATCCCTAAAGCTTTAGAATACAAATATCTGCTGATTTGAGGAAACATTAAGACAAAGCATAGGCCCATTTGAACTTCCCAAGGCTGAGGAATTATCCATGTACAATATGATTCCTTTAAACAAGTTTTCTCGGTACTGAATTTTTCCTTTACCCAAGAGCTCTATAAAAATAGTGTTTTCTTGCCAGAGACATCAAGGCCTCAGAACTACTGACCTCCTTCTATGAATGTATCGTATGGTTTGTGTTTGGCTTAGGATCTTTTTAACAGACTGTCCAGCTCCACTCTGAGAGACTGACTCAGCAGAATTCCCCACACGTTCCCACTCTTCAGGATCCGAGCGTCCTTCCCTGCCAGCTCCAGGGTAGCCTAGGAGCTGGTGCTGCGCCTGTTTCCTGTATATGCCCTCGGAGGAAGAGACACTGGAGCATTGCTGCTTTTTGTTGTCCCGGGTCCAATGCTGCAAGTGCCACTTAGGCCAAGAAACCCAGCCAGTTTTCCTTAGATGTTTTCCAGAGCACGTCCCCAGTTCTCCTCAGGTTGTTAGAGCTTGAGCTGACGTAGGTCTCTCATATTTGTTTGCAGCCTGGTCAGGGGCCACGTCACTTTTCTCAGTGATGTTCATCTCCCCCTGTCCTGTTCCCCACATCCCCATCTTACTCTCTGGTCTGGCCCTAGTGTTTGCCAGACATCCTCTTTCCCTTCCCTTTTTGAAATCAAATACCAAAGATTCTACACGTACTCCTTTTTTAATGTTTTGCTATGGAAGATTTCAAATGTGTTCAAAAGTAGAGAAAGCAATATGGTGAACCTGTGTACCCGTCGCCCAGCTTCACTCATCTTGTTTAATTGGCACCCCTTCACTTCCCGAACCCCGGGTTATTTTGAAGCAAATCACACATCATATCATCTCTAGTTTCCTTTTAAAAACATCCCAAACTCCTCCCAATTTACTTGAGAGAAAGTGCATGTTAATTTTCTTCCCAGTCTTATGTCGTTTAGCCTGGCCACCTTTCTGATCTCCCAAGCTACCAATCTGCTTGGAAGTAGATGTCCCTCCCCTGTTTCCCACAATCCTCCACTGGTGGAACAGTTGGCAGAAGAATGGCATCCTTTACAAAATGACAGTTTAGCTGGGAGGAAGGCTGTTTCACCCATGATGGTCACAAGATAGGAAAAGGATAGGGCCTGAGTTACACCTCATTGTCAGGGATTAGATGGGCACACTTATTTGTATTCATGGCCAGCCACTACAGAGTGAGTAAGACAAATTCCCCAAAACAAAGGAGCCAATTCCTGTGATACCAAGCTGGTTCCCTCTGCAACTTGTCCCTTCCCAATACAAGTGACACTGTTCTCCTGTGAAGAATCTAAAGCCTTGTCCTGTCCTGTCTCCATTTCAGATGCCGTGGCAGAATGTGGAGCACGTCGGTGACCAAAGCCCCTATGTCACCTCTGTCATTCTTCACATTAAGCAGAACGTCCCCATCATCCGTGACAACCTGGCTTCCACACGGAAATACTTCACTCAGTTCTGCATTAAATTTGCAAAGTAGGTCCTGGAGCATTCTCATCACTGAGTTTGTTTTTTTCTTTTTAAATAGAAACTTTATTTTTTAGAACAGCTTTAGATTCATAGCCAAATTGAGCAGAGGGTACAGAAGTTTCCCATGTACCCCTGCCTGCACATATGCACAGTCTTCTCATTACCACCATCCCCCAACAAAGGGGTACTTTTGTTGCAGTCAATGAACTTATATAGACACATCATTATCACCCAGAGTCCATAGTTTACATTAAGGGTTCAGTCTTGGTGTTGTCTATTTTGTGGGTTTGAACAAATGTACAATGACATATATCCACCATTACAATATCATATTCAACTGGGTTATTATTATTATTATTATTGAGCTGGAGTCTCACTCTGTTGCCCAGGGTGGAGTGCAGTGGCACTCTCATGGCCACCGCAGCCTCAACCTGCTGGGTTCAAGTGATCCTTCCACTTCGGCCTTCCAAGTAGCTGGAACTACAGTTATATGCCACCACACCTGACGAATCTTTTGATTTATTGTAGAGAAGAGGTCTTGCCAAGTTGCCTGGGCTGGTTTCGAACCCTTGGGCTCAGGCAATCCTCTCACCTCAGCCTCTTGAAGTGCTGGGATTATAGGCGTGAGCATCCGGCCCAACTGGGTTATTTTTAATGCCATACTTACCACCACATGCTCACAATTCAGGTGTCCCCACCATCCAACTGGGGCTCATTCTGGTGCCTACAGGCAAACTAATTTGAATTTGTACCCAAAAGAAGCATAATAATAAAACTGAATATGCTATTTACAATTATAGATAACAGCAACAGCAATATAAGCATCAGCCACATCAATGCAAACAAAAAGGAGTAGGGGGATCCTATTATTTTGAATTATGTGAACATAACCACCCTTAGATTTGGATAATTGCAATTATTTTTCAGTGATTTTGTGTCTGCCTATTGTCTCTTTGACTGGATTATAAGCTTTTTAAGGGTGGGAACCATCAACCCTGTTTCTTTGGAGCCTTTTCTTCTCCTCTCCCCATAGTACTTATTACTGTGACTGTTAGAATTTATCTACATATGTACATTCTTGGGTTCAGGGAAAGTACTAGAAATTGGGGTGAGCAAGTCAATGAGCTCTGCTGCCAAAGTAGATGGAGCTCACGCTGAGCCGCATGTCTTTCTGCCACGTCCTGTGTGGCCATTTCTGGCTTGAGTTTTGAAGCGAGGAAAGCATCTGGTCCTTTGCCAATCAGCATCTGGCTGTAGCACCATCTCCCATGAGCCAAGGCAATGTAGAGGGTCAGTGTCCCCTCTGACCAATTATCAAACGAGCATTTTGGCAAACTTCTCTGGTAAGGGCTTCAGGAAGGTCAGCCCAGTCCAAGCTACTGTATTTGGGTTGTTCTCGTCCCAGTCCCACATGGTGATTCAGGACTCCAAGTTTCTGTCTTCCCCAAATCTCTCCCAGTTTGTATTTAATTAGAGCTTTCCCTCTCCCTCACAAATAAATCCCCAAGGAGCAACAATTATGGAGTGGCTTGCAGCATTAGCTTTAACTTCTAGTTTGTCAAGAAAGGATCGAATGGACTCTCCAGGGAGGCATTCACGTTTGTAGTGTGGCAGATGGACCAGGAGTTAAAATTCCCTTCACTCTCTGGGTGCTCATTAGTGTGTTAAAAACGTTGCTGATACATCACATTGTGATACTCCCAGAACCGCTGGTAGAAACAACATCTCAGTAAAAATTTACTGTGACTAAGAATCTCCAGTGTGGTTGCACAGGGTTCTTATTGAGCTTATGTTAAAGCAAATAAGGGGTCCATTGACCTCGCTAGTCCCAGCATCAGCCTCACATTCTCTCAGAGCCACCAGAGCCCTTTAATTTTATTACTAAGCCCATATTGCATGAACTGGGAGTAGAATGCCATCTCTCACATCTGGAAAAGTTCAACCAGTGATGTAGAAAGTAGTTTTCTGTTTTAATCCATGATACCCTCTCATCCTTGTAAAATCCAGTCTAGGACTAGAAATCCCAGAGGTGGAGAGTTGAAGAGACCTTCCCCAGCCCAAGGCCATAGCCACCGCCACCATGATGGCCTGGAGAAGCCATTGACAGTTACCCATCACACTGCTTGGTCTTATCCCCTAGAGACATGGTATCTGCTTCCTATATCCTCTGCTGCCATAGACTGGTACAAAGGTACTTCAAGGGCACAACCAAAGCTTATTATAGCATGAAGTAACTTAGGCCACAGACTGTGTGTACAGTTGTAATTGGTCATGAATTCAGTCTCATGTTACTTGTCTGGCTCTGGCTTATAACACTGAAGAATCCCTTCCAAATAGTCCCTTGTTCATACTCCTTCCTCATCAGCAGGCCTTCCCCTAGATCTTATCTATGGACTTTAAGTTCCTTTCCCCTAACTTCGTTCCCTACCATAGATGTTTCCTTATGCCTCCATTTAGTGTCTAGAGCAACAACAGTCGTTCCTGTTAAGACGTCAAGATCCACCCCCTAGTTGAAACTGCAGTTTGAACCACAAGTGAATTCCCTCATCTAAGCTGATTCTCTTTGATTCAATAATGGAGATAATAAGGCAAATCTCTTAATAGCTGGTGGAAGGATAAAATGAGAAGTCACATGTAAACTTCCTGGTAAAGTACTGGTACTGACATTCAAAAAGTGGTAGCCACCACCATTATTAAAGCATTTCTTCAACATGCATTCACTTGAGTACCTCCTATGTCCTCAGCATAAAGGCAAATGCTTTAGCTTAATAGACACACATCCTATCTTCATTTACCTTAACAGTCAAGTGAAGGGAAACAGGTAAGCAAATAAGTAGAGTAGAATAGGTTAGGTGTTAGGATAGAGGCCTGTGGACTCCGTGTAGAATATGGTGAAAGCAAGTGAGGAAAAGCTTCATAGAAGAGACATCCTTGCCTGAGCCCGCAGGTTCAAGACCCACCTGGGCAACTTGGCGAGACCTCATCTCTACAATAAATCAAAAAATTAACTGGGCGTGGTAGCGCGTGCC